GCGAGTGCGCTATCCGTTACGCCACCAGGGCTGCTTTTTACCCTCTCAGCTCAACGGCTTTTGCCGTAGCCTTACAGCGTTCGCACGTTTAACATGGTCAGTGATCTTGAATTGAAACTGTTGCTCAAAATTGACGATCAATGCTCAATATGTTACATTTGAACCATTTTCAGGTGGAAAGACGCTGTTGCAGATGATGCAATTTTTGATGACGCTCATGTAAAAAAATGTTTATAGTTTGGTTCGCTGCGGACGAAGGGCGTCTCAGATGGGATTGATGGTACGGCGCCAATTAGAAGCAAAGAAAGCCAAACATTGGGAAAGGAATACAGAAAACCAGTTTTCCACTAGATGTTGGAACGAGCATGGGAGAAGACTGTTCATATGGTTTCTATTAGTCCAACCATCAATTGCTGTCGCTTACCCGCTTCAACAATTGGTAGAGAAATGGTTAGATCCATAACGCCGGACACGCCCCTCTGTCTGCGGCGAACCAGTCCCTAGACCAATTAGCCATAGAAAATATCCTTTCTATTAAGGAATGTGAAAGAATTAAATTAGCCATAAGAGTTGTATATATAATGAAGGAATACAAACTATTCGAAGAGGGTATCACTAAAGAAGAAACGGATACAATTAAGGCGTATTTCACCTCGAAGACGAGAGAAAGTCCTTCTGATGCAGTAAGCAAATTGTGTTCTTAAACTGCTCAGTAGCAGGAAAGGGGAAGCTTGGGGTGGGAGGAGGGAGTGAAGAGAACGCGAGCAATAAGTAATGATAAAACCTTCATGTTCCATCATTTTTTACCTCCTTACCCAAGCTGGTTACTCACCACTCCAAAAATTGATATGAATGTTTCTGCTCTTCCTTGCCGGACCAATGGCACAATATACTGTTCACCCTTGATGGACCCTAGATTCATTACAACTTTAGCTCCGAGTGGATTTTTTGTGAAGATTTTTAATCTTTGGAGTATTTGTCACATTCATCGCCTGACATCTAGAGAAAGCGGGTAGGCTTATAGGAGTTGTGGTAGCGTGCAGAAACCAGTTCAGTGCATGCGTGATGCGCTGATTAGCGCAGTTGCTCAAGTGACGTCACTTGCAACATGTCGCAGCGCGGATCTCCTGACCTGCAGACTTGTTCAACAGATTCATTCGTTACTCACTGAGTTCGAATGTATCCGTCCTATTGCATGACTTCTGTGGTATAACTGATCTGCCATCTCCATCTTCTGCCTCTTATTTCACTTGCACGATCTGACCAAATCTTGCGCTCGGGTGAAGCCTCTTTCTTTCCGGGTTGGGAATTTCATGGGTGTGGCCTACTTCCGAGCTATCATCCAGATAACCTGATGTTTAATTTTTAGATTATTTCGTTAATCGATAAGTCCATTGGGAACGCACTAAGAGTGATGAGGCATAATCCTGAACGCTTTGAAGGTGCAATTACCGCTGAAGTGAAAAAGTTTATCAAAAACAGTAGAAGGGTCTGCCCTTTAGTTTCCTTTTGTAGCTCTTCGTAGCTGCACCGTGAAGTTCCAGGTTAAACCAGTACTGTTGGACGCCATGATTGCATATGCTTGTATTCCGGACTGTTGGGGTGGAATAGAATACGAAAAGACGGTTACGGCAAGATTAGCTGAAGTCAAGACAGAGGCGGATACAAAGAAAGCAGAAGAAAATCAGAAAAAGGAGGAAGAAGAGAAGAAACCTCCGGATCCTAATGAACAGAAAGAAGAGGGAGAAAAGAAAGAAGGCGGAAATGATAAGGTATGGTTTTCGAAGACGGTTACTTTGGGGGGAAGCAAGAGCCGCAACGTTGTTCCTTGTGGAAAGAGGGCAGATCCCAGCCACAGTAGTGTACTACGGGAGACCACATTGGGAGCCATCAACTTGTACCCAGGCATCTTGAAAAGCTAGTAAAGCAACAATGACTTGGTGATTTCAATTCTTAGCTTTTAGCAAGAGCCGCAAGCAAAGGAAACGGGAGCGAAGGAAGGCAAAAAGGATAGTAAAGAAAAAGAGAAAAAGGATAGTAAGGAAAAGGAGAAAAGCAAGAGAGAGGTAGTCGTTCAGAAATTGTTATACTTCTTTCTTCTGATATGGGTCTTTTGGGACGGGGGGGAGACATTTTGCACTTTCGCTGCTTCACTAACCGTACTTTTTACAAGAGTTCACAGGGGTCTCCACAAACTTTGACTAGTATCACTTGTGTAAAATTGTGAAATCTCGTGGCTTCACAGTGGCAGTTCACGCTCCATGTCTCGACACTCGATAAGAAGTAGCAAAAGTTGCAAAATGCCCGCCCTCCCTCCCCCTCCTACTCCGCCGAAGTGCGACCTCTTTTTACGCGCTTAGTTGACACGAGTTGAAGTACCTTGCCCTTGTTTCGAAGCAATGACGCTGTGTACTTTGCAGCTTTCACTAGCGTTCGAGCGTCCGGCGGCGTCAGCGACTGGGAATGTGCAAATATCGACCTAGCGTCTGCCAGCGTCTCCTGACGTCCGCCAGCGTCTACCAGCGTCCACCAACGTCTGGAAGGTCCGCAAATTATGATGCAATATGAATCTCACGTCTACCAGCGTGTGCCGGCGTGCACCAGCGTCTACCACCGTCCGGGAGAGGAGAGTATGGCGCGATAGGACGATACCAGCTGTCTGCTACCCTCCTATCGCACCATTTTCTTCTCCCGGACGCTGGCAGACGCTAGATCGACATCTACGCTTTTCCAGACGCTGCCGGGCACTTCAAACGCTAGTGGTCGTTGTCGCAAAGAATGAACGCAGCTAAACGGCAGTTTGAATGTTTTGCGTTGATAGGAGCCGCGAACAAAGGAAGCCACGAAAGAAGGCAAAAAGGACAGTAAAGAAAAGGATAAAAGCAAGAAAGAAGAAGTCGTTCAGAAGGTACACAGAGTATTTATGGGTTCAGCTGAATGCAAGCAGCTTTTTTATCAACCCGCTTTATTTGGCGCGCTAGATTGCCCTGGTTGTGCTTGCCTAGTCATTCTTAACGGCAAGCTGTACACCCACCTAATATAAGAGGACGGCCTCTTGCCATATGCGACTCGAATGTGTCCGCAGCTGCAGTTGTGTGCCAGTTTCTCCGCCTGAAAGTGCGCGGGAACGGGAATAGAAGGTGGTGCTGCCCGAGTGATGTCTTCTTGCTCCGCTCGCGCTGTCTTCAAGGTATAGCATTTGCGCCGATACCGAGATCCCACAGCGAAGACGCCGTCAAAGCTACAGAGTAACCAGATAAGAGTGCGCAGGAAGGTAGCGTGTTTAGCAATGGTTAGGCGGATGGCTCGCCGTGCGGCAGCGCTCTGGATCCTCAGAGTTGAATATACTCTTGTCTCTGACCAGGAAGAAAAACTGGATGTTAAACACATAAAAAGAGGCGCCACAAATTGATATCGGCGAAAGACTCAAAAGATTCAAAAGAATCTAAAAGTTTTCACAAAAAATTTTCATTGTTTGAACTCCTTCTTCTTCGAATATTTCGGTGCCTAGCACCTTCTTCAAGCGATCTGAACACACAATTTTGGTGAAGACCGCTTGCACCCGAATCCTGAACCTTGCCTTCACTGGTGCCTCCGTTCTGGACTCTGACCTGGTCTGCTGCCTCCAGTAGTACAATATGCCGCCGCTGCTCCTTGCGAACGCCACACCTTCTAATGGTGACTGTAGCCCTACCCTTTACCCTAGGGTAGACAGTCACCACTAGAAGGTCCGGCGCTCGCAAGGAGCAGCGCGCATATTGTTACTACTGGAGGCAGCGGACCAGGTCAGGATCCAGAACGGAGGCACCAGTGAAGGCAAGGTTCAGGATTCGGGTGCAGGCGGCTAAATGTAGTATTTCAGATCGCTGAAGAAGGTGCTAGGCAACCAGAAATATTCCGAAGAAACACGGAGTATCAAACAAAAAAAAAATTTTTAGCGACAATTTTTTTGATCCTTCTGATTTCTTTTATTCTTCGCCGCAAAAATCTTGGCGCCTCTTTTATTGTGTTTCAGTTGCAATGAGGCTCCGGGACAGCACAATCTTAAGAAGTAAAAACCGTTTAGGATCAAAAGGATGTTCAGCAGACAAAGAGCAGAATCGAAGCTGGGACTCCAAAGGTGGGTTTAACAGGGTTAGAAATTTACCGTGAATGACTTTTGTAACATATAAAACATCTAAAAATTGATTTCCCTGCCTACACACAGAATGATGCGAAGCCGAAGACGCCGACGAAAGCAGTGGAAAAGACTGAAAAGGTAGGAAAAGTAAAAATCCTATTGTACGTACTTTTCAATATTTCAAATTGTGCATGATCCCTTTTCTTTTCAGCAGGCTAAACAAGAAGGTGGCCGGGGATTTGTAGACCTAATCTTGAAAATACTGTATGTTTTAACGGTTCAGTTTTTCTCATACTATTGAGGTATTACATTTAAAGTCCCTGGGAAAGTAGTTCACATAATTCGGTATTTTCTTAGAAAAAGCGAAGCTTTTGGCTTCAGCCGATTCTGTCCTGGATGCGCTAATGACGGTACATCAGTTCGTAGAATAGCTAGTGGCATATCGAACGATGGGCCTATACAATGACAGTGGTATAAATTGGCGTCTAGCAAGCGTGCAAAAGCACCCAAGTACCGCTCTAAAGGCATGTTGTCACGATCGAAACCTAAGAAGGTCGATAGGATTAATACGCTGCAGAAAAAGAAAAAAAATAGGCATTCCGCCTCCCCTGAGCAGGCGCCGCTAGCGCCTCTGCACAAGAAACTCATAACGGCCGATGCACCCCAGCCGCGCCACAAATGGACGACCTTCCTGATGCTCGTATTGCTTCATTTGCTAAGTAAAATATGAAGCGAAGGGATTGGTATGAAGCGGCTGCGGTGCTGCATGGATATATGAGTACATACGTGCAGCCGTACCTACCGTAGCGGTTATTGGCAAGATGCCTACGGGAAACTCGTCCGAAATTGCTTTTTGAGTCTTTGAGGAAGAAGGCTTTTCTTCGCAGATTTTCGACCGTTCCTACTTCGTTTTTTTTTCGTCATTTTCCCCACTACATATAGTGTAGTTCGCTGCGGACGGTTGGGCGTGTCAGGCGGGATGAGTTTGGCGCGGTGCCAAACCCGTTCTCCACCAGTTGTTAAAGCGAGCAAGTGATATGACTGTATCATATCGTTCGTATTACTCGTTTTCTACCACTTTTTGTCGCATGCGCGCTTCAACAAGAAGGCAGAGAACGGCTTTGACGGCGTGACACACTCATACTGCCTGACACGCCCAACCGTCCGCAGCGAACTAGAGTGTAGGACCTTGCTAGCATTTTGAGGCCAAGTATCAAATTACCGTCTCAACTGCCGTTAGGCTAAAAAGAGCACCCTTTTGCGGATGAAGTGAGCAGGTCCGTAATCCCGACGGTTATGCCACCCCGTTCCTCCGTGTACGTCCTCACCTTCGTTGTGCTGTCTCGCGCGCTCAGGGTTTCTCCGCCGTTTGCTCGTACAGGGTTCAGAATTACAAGAAAAAGGCGAGCTCTTAACCTATCACCAATCAGCCAACGCTATCAGCCTCCACATCTGTGTCCGTGTCTGGGAGCGGACCAAGTTGGGCAGTTCTACGCGGCAGCGCTTCTGCGTCCCTTCGCCTAACGAAGACTTAGGTTTGCAGCGCAAATGGCCAGAGTAGCCGCAGGCTTCTCCATTTCGTGGTGCTTTCTGGTCTCGTCTGAATGGCGTTCGTGGCCTTACTCATTCCAACGCAAATTGTAGATTACCTTCCCTAGAAGTTGACGTTTTTTTCTTGACTAGTGAGGAAATCCAAGGCTCGATACACATGTTTTTGCTTCTTTCGTTGCTCTGGTCACCCAGCTGTCCCTAAAGTCGGCGCTGTTTCCGTGCGACTCTGGTCACATGCGCTCTAAGTCTGTGTCTTGCTTAGTGGAAGGAACGCACTGCTGTATGGCTTCGCTTGGGTACGTTAGCACCGAAATTGCTCTTGAATTTACTTTTATGTAAACTTTTTTTTGAGGAATAACCACTGAAGGTGAACTCGCTTCACTTACTATGAGGTCTATTTCAGGGTGTCCGCAAGCGCACTGGCATTGAACAGCGCAGGGTGAATGGTATGTCTTTCATGAGTCCGCTAGCTACAAGGACTGAATGATGAGATCATCCTAATTCAGACCGATGACAAATGCCCTTTATGGAAAAGAAGAAATGCCGTTAAAAGAGACATTATTAATGTTTTAAGAGGACTTCTCTACTTGAATTTCGTGCAAGATTACCACCAATTTTAATAAAGTTTAGCACGCTGTTTTGAATGCTAGTTCTTTCGAGGGCACGGTACCTGACCAGACCCGAGATGCCCTTCACTGTTACCATCAATTAGCCTTTACTGCCTAATTTCCATAGCTCAGGTCAGAACTTCGAATTGTCTGGGAATTGGCCTCCATGGGTACGCTCATCCCCTGAACACGAATATCGCGACCTCTTGGCCCGACACGGCCACAGACGCCCAAAAGATAATGCCGGGCAGGGCCGCTTGGGCGGAATCACTTTAACACTGCGCCTCTCTCTCTGAGGGGCTCTTATAGTTATGTGCACAAAGAGGACGAGCAGGAAAGCGCTGCAAGGAAAGCGGTACAGGTGACTCAGTAAGATGAAGGAGGATTGGGATTTTGACTGTACCCCGAAAGTGCATTAAACAACAGCTGGCCAACGAATGGCTACGAATGGGGAGGTCTACGTGTAGCTCATGCGAGCAATGCGGATAACTCTGGATAAACGGTGATATCTGATTGTTACAGTGTTGGAGAGGGGTAGCATCATTGCTCAATAGATACTCGTGCTACTTGGTCGGTTCAGTGTGAGTCTTTACCAGTTGTTTCTGTGTCCGTGCGTAGGTAAACTAAAGGCATGTGTGCAGAGTAGTCCACTCGGTAGACCTATTAGTAAAACATAGTCGCCAAAGCTCAGGACTGTACGTCTAAGGCAGCCAAGTGAGCCCAGGTTGCACCATTCGCTTCGCGTCCTTTAATCCCTCACGTCCTCAGCACCGAACGAAGTGATAATTCGAGCAGTTCGGTATGCACCATACGGTACTGCACACTGAGCCGAATAAGTAGGCTGTGGTTGCTGCTTGTTAGCTCCCCTTGGGGACACGGATTAAGACAATCGTAACCTACCCATCAGTCGCGCGCGGCGATCCCGTAGAACGCATTGGCCTGTCGATTGGAGCGTCGTATTCCATATAAACTACGAAATCGGTGGCATTTAAGGCTAGTTTTGGTTGAACCTTGTCTATTGTAGCCTTCAACGATCCAGAAACATCGCCGTTAACTGGCGCGATAAAACTGCAAATGGCAGCTGTTTTATCACACGTCCGCTCATCTTTTCTGTGATTTGGCCTCAAGGAAGCCTCCATGATGCAGTAACAATCAGTCGCGCAAGCGCCTTACAGGCCATGTATCCTCTCCTTACCGCTTAATACATTCCCTGCCCTTCATTCTAGTTCTGTATGCTTCCTCGCATCCCTATAGAAGACGCTTCAAATTGTGCTTACTTGTTGATGTAAAGCTACAGTATCGGTGATAAAGCCATTCATCGCAGCTCATCGTAAACATCCATCACTTAACTGAAGCTAAGTCAGCCTAGCGGTCGGGGATATGTGACAAGAGAAAGTAAATCACCGCGCGGTGGGCGTCGCGTGCGACGTCGCGCCCGCAAATGACGATGGTTCCAGGTATTAGATGGCACAACAGGCAATTCAGAACCGAAAATAGTCATGAATGTCTACGATGACGGGGTCTACATGAAGTCCGGTGCTCCAATCGACAGGTTAACACGAGTTAAGAAAACGCCGCGCCATCGCCGCGCGGGTGGAGCGGCAAATTACGATTCTCTTGCCTTCTCCCGGGAGACGGCCAGGAGTCACCGCCGCGCTCGAAACTAGGTCACCGCGCGCGGCGACCTGTTCGCGTGGCGCGGCGGTGAGTCCTGACCTGGCATTTTGCCAACTTCCGATCAATATGACCCTATCGCAGTTTGCTTACCAGTTGGTTTGGTTAGAGCGTTCTCTCTTTTCCTCTCCCATCTGCCAAAAACATCTCCAAACAGGTAGACATGTCTAAACATGCAAACATGTCAAAGCATGTAATCGCCGCGCGCGGTGACCCACTTCCCAGTGCGGCGACCGAGTTTCGAGCGCGGCGGTGAGTCCTGACACACACCCCTTTGCTCCAGCCCGGTAGGATAGAATGACCACTTACGCACGAGCGCGTCCAGGTCGCCACGTATGTAATGTGCACTCCCCAATGCTAGCCACGATCGTAATGAGCTGCTAGTTTCGATCCTCTCCCTGAACATTTCCATTCCAAGCTAGCAAAAGCAGTGCTCCTCTACAATGCGCATGCACTGTTAGCGCCCTGTTTGCGCAACGTCTTCTATGAACATGAGTATCGATATGTACTTCGCTTGCATGCAGTATCTTTTTTTAAATTCTTTTTCAGATCTTTTTGCAAAAGAATGTTCCTAACAACCCGCCAGACCGGGCAAACCATTAAACTCATATCAGACATCTAATATGCATCAACAAAAAGCAAACGCCCAACCGCGGGCCAATATAATTTGCCTGACGGGCAAACGTCCTCTCCTTGCCCGACCAAGCGTCCGATACGCAGGCGCCGGCTGACATGGGTTACGAGCCCAACGCTGGGGACGCGTGCGACGAAACGAGGCTGCGTTAACTGCGTTAACGCGCCTCTACATTCATTCCTGATCGCCCTATGAGTCGGGAGACGTGCCAGCAGAATCGGTTAATTTTGATGCTTCGCGGCAGATTGCGGCGTGGCGTTTTCCTAACTCGCTTAAGCTGTCGGATTGAAGCACCGGACTGTATTCATGCTAGCATCCCGCAGGCGTAGAGTAACTCATAACTTATTTTCGGGCTTTCTGAATTTACTGTTAGCGCCACCCACGACCTGGAACCACCGTCATTTGCGTACGCGACGTCGCACGCGATGCCCATCAGCGCGGAGGATTACGATTCTCTTGCCACATACCCATTAAACATTTGCCCTTGTGGCTGCAGCGGCACTTGCGCTTAGCGGCGCGCTAGCATGCCCTCCCACCCTACAAGGCAGCATCGCAGCTTCCTGTCAAGC